AATCGGTACCCGGGAAACGGTTGAACAATAATTATTATTGTTCTGTAAGCACCAAGGCAATTCTGACGGTACTCCGTTCGCCCAAAAATTACCTTCCTCTTTTCGACTTAAAAGGATAAGACAATTTCCTCTTTTCGCCCACGGTTTTACGTTTAACATTTTGGAAAGTACTGTCTCAAAGTGACAATTTTGGATCAACTAATGAAAAAGACAACTCTACCTGTTGGAGATGTTTAACGAGAACGTGTGATGCAAAATTATACACGGATAAATGCATTTACTTCAGCAGTCGGAGAACATAATAATAATGAATATGATGAATCAAATATTAATCGACAAATAGTTAACACAGAATAATAACAAAAATCTTTAGAAGATCTCCATACAAGACTGACATAAATAATATTAAAAAAAATTGTTGAATGCAGTGGCGTAACGTGGGTATCGGCTGCCCAGGGCGGAAGACAATTAATAAATAAAAAAGTTTATTTGTTTTACAATCACGTTTATTAATACAAAAATTCTTACTTCAACCATAAATATAACAGTTATAAAGGCATAGGCGCACTAGGGGGGCTCCCCGTAAATATTCCATGTTATACATGGCATACTGCATACAGCATACTTAACTCACAATAGTGTCACATACAAAAAGACACATTGTAGTAAATCCGACTAAAATACCTTTATTAACATGGTATATAAGAGTAGGGGTGATCTACAGATTATTTTAAGTTTTGATAGGAGGGCTGTAGCCCCTCCAGATATTTTACCTTAGTTGCGCCTATGTACAAAGGTATTTTACATGCGATCGTCGAGGTGAACCCTAATTTTAAGTAGGACACCAGTTTTTGAACACATAAGATTCAATTTAAACTATGAAACTAAATCTATCCTCCTACAAGTTTAGGGTGCTCCATTGCTAGCTAATTAATACATTTTAAATATCACACGGGCCTATGTATCAACATTGGATTTAAACTGATGACAACATGTTAAACGAAATAAATACTATAGTTGACAGTGCCGAATCTAGAAAATTTGATGCCCGGAGGTTAATAAAAGTGATGAGTCCTTACATAGTATTCATGAATTTTTTTTTATTTCTCATAAACTTAAGAGCTTATACCATCAGCTTCTGGGGCAAGAATACCCCCTCCGATCCGATACTGATAGTTGTTAAATAATTATTGAGTTAAAAGTTTAACGTTTAAGTAAATTTTGAGGTTTAAAACAAATTATTACTCTCAGTTATAGGATAATACATTTGGAGTATAAAAATTAAATATGATGATAGAGGTTTACAGATAATATAAGAGACGGAGGCGGCAGTAAAATGTTGCTCTTGCTTGACGCAAGGGGCAAATAAAATATCAATAAACTGCACTAGACCATCAAGTTACGATGTTTCCGTGCACACTACAACGCTAATTATAAGTCTAAAATTAGAAAGAGGCAATAAGAAAGAAGATACTATATAGGAGTATGATAAATCGAAATTTGAAAAAGCCTTGAAAATTGAAGGTCATCTAATGAACGACATTACTATGTCTTAAGTTACTAAAAAAAGAATAAAACGCAAAAGTTAAACGTTCTTTGATATTAATTGTATAATTATGGAATACAATCAAATATATTTACCGGTTTTTCAAACGAAAAACTTGTAGATACACGTAATAAGGAACGCTATTGAAATGGCGAATGGTTTTATTTGGCAATATTTTCGTTCTGATTATTATAACGAAGATATAACCGAGAACTCGGAATGATATATTATTATTTTAAGATGCAACGAGATTTGAAAACGAACGACAGAAAAAAATCTAAAGCCCTAATCTAACATATATGCAACAAACAAGCTCATTATTTTGGGAATGCTCGTTCGACTTTTTTTTATTGAATGCACGAAATATAGGAAGTACCTAAAAATGCGATCAGGAGGTTCGAATGGTCTCTACTTCTCCGTCTCCTCCTTCATCAGCTCGTCTAGTTATGCTAAGGGTTGTGGTACATGATAATTACTGAAGTACGTGTACACCGCGATATTATGTAGTATTATGAATGCAAGTACGTCACCAGCATCGCGACGACCAGCGAGCCAGTGGTATTATGACATCGGACATCTTGCTGTCCGTCATACTTTTGCCCAAACACGGTAAACACGGAACAGTTTAAAAGACCGTCGCGGTCCTCTTCGTATACAATATGATATTACACGCACGTAGGCAGCGTACACATAGGTACAAGTAACCGGCGCACCTGTACTATGTGTAATACCATAGTATTGTACTGCACGCGTTCGTAAATATATAGGGTGAAGTAAGGTATTTTCATGACACAGACAATTTCATGATATTATTTGTTGAACGTATAGTGTAATTCCTTATTGCACGATTGACTTGAAAACTATAATGATCTTTAAAATTACTGTGTTTTTAAAGATAAATGTAATTTTCAAATCAATCGTGTAATAAGTAATTATATTATATGTTGAACAAATAATTTCATGAAATTGCCTATGCCACGAAAATACCTGATTTCGCCCCATACAGGTACATAAACGTATAACGGTATCATTTTCATAGACCACCCGAGAAAATTGCTAAAATATCGTTCCCCTAAACGCGTCCGCCGGTACCTCCGTCAGCTGCGGCGGCGTTGAAATGACGCGAAAACTAACGATTAGCGCCTTCTGCGGTGCATAAAACATATGCGATGCAATACACGCGGCAGATGACGTGCAAACATATGGACCGACCGCTGCCGCCGCAGCTACCGATTTTTTTTTTCAGCCGAAACAGTACCGGCATCTCTCGGGAACGTCAAACCGGCACCGGCGCCGTTCAAAATTTGGACGATCATATTATCATGATTATTGTTACGTATTCGATGACGTGACAAACGTACGCGGTTTCGCCTACCGAACTCGCACTGAGAATCGCAACAATTGCAAACAAAAATCAATAGCATACTTTAAACGGTAATATCATTTTGGAACAATTCATTGCTATCGATTTACAGTTGAGAAATGGACTAATTCTGAAATTTGTAATGATCCGACTGTATTCAACGAGAACTTGGCAGTTCTTGTGTTTCGTAGTAAATTTTTTAAGCTATGAAATATGTCTTTCGACTTTCCAAACGATGTATTTCCAATGGAAAAATTACAATATTTTTATGTTTCAGCGGTACGATTTACTGTCGCATTAATTTGAATTAATATATTTTCAAATCTATATTAAAAACTAATGTTTTAAACGAATAACACGATTTTCGTAATTAATTGATCCGATTCAGAAATATATCATCTAACTTATTAATTCATTTTGACCGGGAACGAATTTATTCGAATCGCATAGCATAGTCGACTCGAATTAGTGTTGTACGAGTTCGATTTTGATGGGCAGACTGCTGACAGACGACTGCTGTTGCAGTAAACTAAACGCGCGGGTTTTATTTCGCTAAACGAGTCTGGTCCGAAACGAGTTATATATAATTATGGTCACGCGCAGTACTTAAAATTCAATATTTGTGTCGTGACCAAAAAAAAAAAAAAAAAAAAAAATAAAAAAATAAGACTATATGTAAATTTTAAAAGATTATACCGACGTTGATTATTTCCTTCGCCTTCGAAGAGAAATAATAGTATAGGTACATAAGACATTTAAAAAAATAAAAATCAACAAGCGTTTTATAATTTAGTACATTAGTATTGAAAGAAGAAAACAATGGAGTTTTAATCATCACAAAAATTGCCGTGTTAAACATTAATAACTTGTTAAATATCACAGTATAAGCACAATCGACATTATTCCCAATACATATTATCTATAAACATAAAAAACCTAATAGGGCCAAAAATAAAATTCATCGAAACTAATTTAATACTAAATACATAATGATTGATTTCCATATCCTGTAAAGTTAAAATTTTGAATTTTTATTTGACATTTAATTGTATCTTGTACTGTTCAAAAATATACTTCTTATTAGTCATACAATTTACAAATGCACAAAAACTTGTAATTATTAGATAAAACTCGTTCAATTCTTTAAAAAAAACGAAAATAATAATTATTTCACGAATATTTCCTATAATTTTTTACTGTAAATATATTACGGTATACCAACAGATCAAAATTAATTGTATCTACCTATATAGGTTATATAACCTTTATTTGCTATGTATGTAAACATCTGTCTTTTTCTAACATTGGGAAATATGTTTGAACTACATTTTTTTTGAACGCCCCTACAACACTTAAAATACAAAGAGTTTTTATAGTATGCTTTATTAATATTTAAATTCAAATTACAACGTACATAAACTACCTACATACATACAGAACTAAATAGTTTTATTCCAAAAATAAATTAATGCAGAATTATTTTACACGCAAAACTTACAACTTCCGAGTAAAAACTTAGTATAGTATACGCATAGGCGGAGATCGGGGGGGGGGGGCTTAGCCTCCAAAAATAAATAATATGAAGTTAAAGCCCCCCTGAAAATATTAAATAAACAATATCGTACTTTTGTACAGTTTGCAGAATTTTTATCATTATTGTTTATCCTTATATCCACAATTATATTAATGTACCTAGTACATTACTTACATATTATCATTACTATTTATTAATTTATTATTTACGGTACATACCGAACAATTAAGTTACAATTCACAACATAAAATAATATAATATTGTGTTTATATACCTAATATTGTACATATTTTGTACCAATTGGCCATCAATATTGAATAACATATTATATTGTTCTATTTATAGATGGGAAAAATATTATTTCTTTTCTAATTTTTGTTGTTTCTTGAGAAGCTATAATAACCAGACTGAGATAGTGGGCTATTATAGGACTATTGCCATAACTGTATTAAATCTATAGTAAAGTTTATCGTAATTGAATGAATCGTATTTGTACATAGTAATGGTATCGTACATTCGTATTCGTACCGTAACAGTAACATTATTGATTATTTTATACTAAATTATATTTTACTTATTATTTGATGTTCTTGAGAATACGTTTCTTTTGATATTGTAATTTAGATTTTTAGTAAATAATTTAGTCCAAATATGTTTGAAATATTTAAATTTAAATCAAAAACAACTGAAGAGATACAGACAGATACTACTGATCAACTTGAAGTAATTGTCGACAACTCGGATTTAGACTTGGGTGATTTAGAGTCTGGTACTAAAAGACTAAAGCTTAAGGTAAGTTATGAATTTATTATTCACCTAGGTATCTGTAATAGATAATATATTTTATTATTATTAATTTTATTAAATAATATTAAGGAATTCCCTTTAACACAATTTGGTACTCAAAAACGTGCCTTCAATTCTGCATATTATAAGAATAATAATTGGCTCGAATACAGTATTAATTAGGATGCCATATTTTGTTGTACATGTCGAATAATTGGAAACAATCAAACTGAACCTACATTCACAACCATTGAGTTTAAAAATTGAAAAAAGTATGTTTTATTAATTATTATATAAGTAAATGAAAGTACTCCAAAAGAGCATAAATAGATTTTATAAAATATGACTGGAGATTGGAGAGCTAAAAATCAATTAATATTAGAACTATGACCTATAAATTGTATCTTAAAATACATTTTTATTCGAATAATTGTAAAAAATGCATTCAAATAATAATTTGGTATCTAAACAATTGTCTAAAAGAATTGCCTATATATATATATATATATATATATTCCTTACTCTTCATATAGGTACCTAATTTTACATAGTATTTTTACTAAAGCAAATTAAGCTATCAAAGTAAAAACTACATTTTATTGTAGGTTTGTCATTTTTAATGTACCCTAGGTAAAATGTAAAAGTATCTTAATTATTGGGTACCTATAAGTTAAGTGGATCTAGAGGTTCAAAAAATGGAAAATGATCAAAGCCTGATGCCCATGCTAGTACCAAAACTCACTTGACTTGTGTTGCGAAATGGTCAGGACATAATAATATAATTGTTAAACAAACTAGCACTGTTCATACCCAACTAAAAACTCAGCATCAATTAGAAATCGCAGTTAATAGAGAGTATATGAAATATCTTATTGATATAACACTATATTTAGCAGGCCAAAAATTGGCTTTTAGAGGACACAATTAAAACAAAACCTCATTAAATCAAAGTATCATATAAAAAATAAGAAAAAAATATATTATCAATTTAGTATTGAACTATTTATTTTATTTTTAGGGAATTTTAAGGAAGCCTGTGTTTTATTTTCCAAGCACAAACCCAAGTTTTCTGAAATATTTACTAAAGACACAAATTACACTAGTCACCATATACAGTATGAAATTATTGATATATGTGCAAATAGTGTTAGAGATTTAATTACAGAAGAAGTTGGTACAGGAACATTCAGTATATATAATGTGCGATGAAGCACGGTAAGAAATGCATAGTATAACAAAGTAATAATAAAATTATTTTTTTTTCATTAAAATGTACAATATTTTATTTTTTTATTTTGACATAATTTTAATTTTTTAGTTGCTATAAAAATGAGCAAATGTCTCTATGCATTCGATATGTAAAAGATTTGAATATTCAAGAAAAGTTTCTTGGATTTAATGACTGTTTCGATAAACAAGATGTTCAAGCTTTAAGTGACCAAATTTTATATTACTTCCAGACATGTGAATTAAGTGAAAAAGCTCAAATAGTTTGACAGTCATATGATGGTGTGAATGTGATGTCTGGAAAATTTAATGGAGTCCAATCAAAAATAAAGACCAAATTTCCCCATGCCACTTTTCCACACTGTATGGCTCATAGAATCAATATAGTTGTTGTGGATATGTGTAAAGCTGTTAAAGTAACATTATTTTAATAAAATATTTGTGTTAAGTTTATCAATAGTTAATGAATAAATTAAAATTAAAATTTCTTGTTTTAGGAAATCTCAAGCTTTTTCAATAATATTGAGTTGGGGGCGAATCCAGACCAATATAACGGGGGAGGAGGCGATTATGATATAGATATATATATATATATATATATATAGATAAAATTAAAAATATTAAATTTGATATAACTAGGTTATTTATTTAAATCAAAAAAGTCTTAAAAAAAAAAATTATAAAGTAATAATAATAATAATTTTTTTTAATTGTACTAATATGAGTCATAACAATAGAGTTTATAATTACAAATTTGTTGATTATGGAGGTACCGAACGATTTTTACGTTATTCGTTATCAGTTATCACGTTTTGGAAACACCAACAAACACAAAACTGGATTACGAATATTTAACATCATGATAGTAGTATATAACCGTGATGTCAGTATATCACCAAACAATAAATATAAGTGATAGCATAGTACCAACATAAGTATGGCAAAAAAAAAATAGTTTAAGATTTCCCTATTTACCCTTGAAGTAATCACGTCAAAAATTAAGGTCTATTATGGTGAACAGGGAGGGGGGCGATCTCTCCATTTGCCCCCTAACCCCATCTGGATCCGCCCTTGTATTGAGTGTAAATGTTCATTTTTCTTATCCTTCAAAAAATCACCAATTAACTGATTTACAAAAAAGTTTAGGCTTGAAAATAAAAACAATCAGTCGTATTAGTAACACAAGATGGAAGTGCAGGTATAAAAATTATGAAGCTTTGAAACAATGTTTTAAAAGTATCCTTAGTATACTTAACAAAGATATTAAAAATTAAGCTGATAAAAATGTCAATAAAGCAATAGGTATAATGTACAATGAACATAGCTTTTTATTAATATAATAATATTTATTTTTATTTATTTATAACTTAAATCATTATTTTTATTCTGTAGGAATACTCGCAACAATTACAAAAGGAAAATTTGTTGTATTTTATTCATCATGACCCATGTATTGTCTTGTATTAATGTACTAAGCAATATGCTACAAGATAAAAACGCTACATAAGGAAAATCAACTAAATTAACAGTGTGATAAAATCAATTGAAGACTCTCAAACTTCTGAAAGTTTCTCTAGTATGTGGACATAAATACAAACATTTGCTGAAGTACACGGTATTTTAATTGATATACTATCTCAAGCAAAAGGTAATTTTTATTAAAATTTATTAATTTTTTAATCATGAACATTATAATTGAAATTTCTTATGTTTTTTTTTTTTACTAAAGCCGAAAAGGAAAAGACAACAACCTAGTCATTTGGTTCAGTTTTTAGTAAGCACGAGTACTGGTGCAACGTCTGAAGTAATGGGTGTAGAAACTACTGTAGCTGAAGATTATTTTAGAATAAATATATATTTTAAAGTACTCGACTCTATTATAGTAAATTTAAAAAAAAGGTTTTCCAATGAAAACTTGTCCCTTGCTGTTGGAGTTGATGAATTTATAAAACTAAACTATGATGGAAGTACTTAGTTTATTCATTATTATAAGGTATTTTCAATATTAATTGAAATCTAATTATTTTTATAAATATTTCGTAGGTAGGTACTAATTTAGTTTTTAAAATTATAAATAAAATTATTATTTTTTAGGATTTATTGGGTTAAAATATTTGCCAACAAAGTTTATGGTCGGAAATAATGGTTGCAAAGAACTATCTAGTTGAATCTGAAAGAGGCGATATTGAAAATAATAAGAAGAATATTTCACCTCAAGTATTTCCTAATTTATGTAAAATGATACAATTTGTTTTAACACTACCTATTTGTTCTGCCACGTGTGAAAGAAGTTTTTCTGCTATGAGGAAAATAAAAACATGGCCAAAAATATCTATACATCATCAAAAATTTAATGAATTTTCAATATATAATATTGAAAAAGATAAGACTAAATCTTTAAGTAATGAAGCTATTTTAAATATTTTTAACAAAAAATGTAATAGAATAATAAAATTAAGTTAAAAATGGTAATTGTATATTATTAATTATTCTTTTATTATGTTTGTAAAATGTAAGTTATAATGATAATGAGAACAAATTTTATGAGTGATTTAATGTAAAAATTAGATTGTTAAGGGTGTAGATGCTCCCGTGGGTCTGTTTGGCATCAAATATTTGAGTCCCCTTATTATTTCACTGGATATCCGCCTATGAGTATAGGTTAGTATACAAATAATTAAATTAAATGATACTTTTTTTAATAAAATGTATATATATATTTCAATTTATAAGTAATTTTGTAACAATTTTGAACATCTTATTTTAAAAGAGATTTTTAAGTTTTTTTTCTCTTTTCTTAATCACAAAATTTAAATCGTCTCGCAACATATTGTATACAAAATTTAAAACACAAGGCAGAATATATTTATCATGCTTTAGTAAAAATCATACGATTGTATGTAATGTGAAATAAGACATGAGCTAAGTAATATATTCAAAAGCAAGTATACGCGGGAACAGTTCGATACGATCGTAGGTTATAACTCATAATTATTAAATAATACTATATTTTACAAGCCAATTGCCAACTAATTACGATATACCATAAACACAATTGTATATATTTTAGAAAATGATTCTAGAGCATAACTAAACCATTATAATATGTAACTTGTTATTAAATCAAACATTCGAATGTCCGGAATAAAAGTAGGTGTACGTGATGATACTGTAGTTTTTATAATACAAAAGTATTAATAGTTTATATAAATATATATAGGTACTTATTGTACCGACAAATATAATCAGAAAACAAAAGGTAGAAGGTAAAAAAAAGGTAAATATATGGTCAGAGGAATTATTACATTGTGCGTTTCCGTGAAACAGTCAAGCGCATGTATTAATATATTATAATGTGTAAAATAGTAAAATATGATAATGTGATATTATACTAAGTAAACACAAAATGGGCTGCAGTAGTGAACTAATGGTCCTGATTAGACCACGGAAGTACGAATACACGTATACATATATTAAATTATACTACTTAAAACTCGCAATTGAATTTTTTTTTTCAAATATATTTACTACACGAAAAAATAAAACAAAAAAAAAAAAAAATTGAATACTTATACACAAAGCATATCTCAAAACACTACGCTGTATCATACTAATAAATGATACATTTTGATGGTTAAATGAGAGTAATTAATAAAGTAAAATCGTTTTTTGAAAAGAAAAGTAATTTTTAATTATTTCGTATTAATTGAGAAAAAATGACACAACCGAGCCTGTTTTAACGTGATCCCAGTTCTGACCATTTTAAATGACTAAATTAATCGATTAAAAAAAAATCGGTTATTAATCATCAGTCACGGGATTTACATACAATTATTTTAAATTCTCTAGTCATTAGTTCAAATCATTGTTGTGTGTTAAAATAATAATAAAAACAATTAATAATATTATTATTCTTAAGGTATTTTCATGACATTTAGAGATTTTTATACAATTCGTAGAATATATATATATATATTGAACGTTAGTTGAAATAGTTGTGATGTGAAGTAAAAATTAATTTTTATTACTGTTCATTGACGGCGGTGAGGAGTATTGCAAATATCAGTACATACACATTATATTATTATGCTCTACGAGTATACGATGATAATACAGACGGTAAAATGATGACAAAGCTCGGTGCACTTCAGAAAATACCACCCAGAGAAATATAATTGTATAACCCGTCGGTATACGTAGAGAATATAATAAATCTTAAATATATATACGTTTTTTACGGCCTATTGTTTGTCCTCGGAAGAAATTACGATGATCATTGTCACTCAGAAAAAAAAACCGTGTGCAAACATTCGTACGTATATGGAAAAATACATATACCAATTCGACGCTGACTCGGCCTGCACGGGCCAGCTAGTTGTCGACGTTTTCCTCGTTTCATTTGCCGCGCTGACCGAATGGTCGGCGGTGGTTATGCCTTGCTGCAAAACCGTCTAAAGGTGCGATTCCTTAAAGCGCTTCTATAGACGCGCGACTCTAATTTTAACTGTTTTTCCTATTTTTAAATGAAACCTATTCCCAACACCGCGGGGCGGCTGTTACGTCTTTAATCGCGCGACTGACGACCGCTTGGTAGGCGGTTAAAACGCACTAGACGCGCGACCGATTATCGTCGACTTGTTAATTTGATTTACCTATATAATTTTAAAATGTCTTATGATAACAATGTAGATTATATACCTGCCTCGCGTCTCTTGCGACTGCGTTTTGTAGTAGTACGGAATACTTATTCGGTCGCGTCGAAAAAATTCAAATCGCGCCACGTCAGTCGCGCGTCCTCAGGAATCGCATCTTAATTGCTCGATCGCATTACACGACGTGCGCGTCGCAACGCAAACGTCTCCGCGGACGCGACTACGGCGAACACGGAGCACCACGACGGAAAGG